CTCTCTCTCTCTCTCTCTCTCTCTCTCTCTCTCTCTCTCTCTCTCTCTTTCTCTAAGCCATATCTTAAATATATTTTCACTCCGTGCTCATTAATATTGCTATTTGCGGCAGGCGTTTTATTACGTCGCTGTGAAATAAAGTTAAGCAGTAAAACCCCGCCATTCTTCAGACAATAAATCCCCGCCTTCCTCAGCACTTTTCCAATAACAACAATTTCGCGTAGATAACAGCCGTCTGTGCTCTGTGACAGCCATGGTTAACGAGAGAACTTTACGGTGCCTATTATCTTGCAAAAAAAAACTAACGTCTCTCGCACCGTCGACGATCGCGTAAGTTCGAATGTGCCGAGACGTGTTATGACAAGACCGCCGTATATAACATGCCGGAAATATCGATCTGTCGGGGGTAGATTCCTAGTATGAAAACAAAAAAAATGTAAGGGTACGCAATGACAGCGTGAGTTGGGAGACTCGATAAGGACGCAATTGTGCCCGGACACTTTGACGAATTCAAAGTCAATTTTTCCCATGTGAAAATTTCGAGGCGGATCTAACTGCATAGAGATATTTAATATAAAATTCTATTTTTAATTAATTTGAGATAGACTCTCTACTTTTAACGGAATTTTTTCGGAGCCTGTTAAAATATTTAATGGTGAAAATTGAAAAATTGCTAGAAACGTGTTATTCCCGCCGAGGAAAAATCAATTGTGGGCGAATAAAGTCATTAAAGTAATGGTATATTATTCCGCATATTTACATATATTTGCAAAGCGACAAAGAGTCGGCACAATTTGTATCGTACATTTCGCTAATTGTTTTCACGTAATCCTTGAGACTTTTTAGTCGTGGATTTAAAGAGAGCCCGCGCTCGGAGAATATAATAATAAAGCTACGGATAATCCTCGAAAGCCCATTTATGTTTATACTATTGCACTGTTCCCCGCATCTGGTTTTATTAATGAGACTGCGGAGCGAAACTGTACAAGCATCTTGTTCGCGATATTATTACATTTTCAATTTTTCCGAGATTACCCGAAATACATTTAAGAAAAATATGCTCCCCTGAGATTTTTCCGAGATATCTCGAGCATTTTGCTCGTCGGTTTTGCATTGAATTACGATAATAATTTGACAACAATTCAGCAGCATCCTCGATATTGAAGCTTTCCACGAGTACATTTAAGGTCTGTGTATCCTCTCGAGATGTCTCTACGCGATACATCCGATTTTCGCAATATTTTTATAGGCTTTTCTGCGAGTCTTCCTGCGAGTTTTCCTTAACACGTTCTTGGAATTTCTTTAATGCCAGTTCGATTTCATGTCTCGTTACACAGTTAATAAATTACATTTTCATTTGCATTCGCTTTCGTGGTATTACGAATAGGCTTGATGTACGAGCCGCGCACATCGCGCCGTATAATTAGTATAAAAGTGCATATGTTCTTGAGATGCTCGCAAAAATCAATCCTGGACAACTTTCAAAATTTTCCACCAATGCTCAGCATCCGACAGCTTTGATACTGGGCATCTCTCCACCTCCCGCGTGGCTGGCGGCCTTTACGCGAAAATCTTCAATGGCACTTAACTTCTTCCGGAAGAGAGCGAATTCTTCCTGATTTCTAGTCGTGATGAGGCAGTCGCGGCCGCGCGGGAGCTTTCTCCGGCACGTTTTGTGTCGCGCGGCCTCCCTCCCTCCTCCCCCTTCCCCACCCCCGAGATCGGGCTCGCGAAAAATCGCCGAGTGAAAATCGCCGGGGCCCCGATCCCGGATTGGAGATCGACGCCGATTTAAGCTCTCCTTTGCGAGATCGAGACGTGGGGAGAGAGAGGGAAGGGAGGGGGGGAAGGAGGGGAGGTTCTACGGAACGGTTTTAGATCGGGCTTTGCGTCACGCGGGGCACGTCGTCCTTTTTTCCCACGATCCCTTTTCTTACGCGCCCCCCCCTCTTCCTCCTCCCCGTGCAAGCAAGAAACGAAAGCGGCGATATTTCTGAAATACATTATTCCGCGACGGCAATGGCGGCGTCTACGCTGACCCACATAGGCATTTTTCCAATTCCGGCCGTGGCCGATAGAAAGCCGCACGCGGCCGCGTTTGTAGAAAGTTCCCATATTATTTCGCATTCGGTCGCGCGCGGTCATGGCGAACGTACACCATCGTCGTCGCCGCCGCTGGTGAAAATTAGCAAATAATAATTGGAGCCCGTTGTATCGCAATCGCCCTATGTTCCTCCCTCCCTCCCTCCCTTCCTTCCTCCCTCCCTCCCTCCCTCCCGTCTTCCCTTCTTTCCTCCCTCCTTCGGTACGTGCTCACGATCTTTATTTTTTTCGTCCGGCTTGCCTCCGTGAGTTTCTCCACTCCCGTACGTGAAAGCACAACGTAGGGATATTTTTTTTCCAGGGGAGAGATCCGAAGGATATTCGCGAGGGAAAATAATGCTGATGAAAATAAATAAGCGGTCCGTGTCAGCGACCCGAAAGTAATGGGCTTGTCTTTCATTTTTATATTTTCCCCTTTCGCAGTATTTCAAGCTTTAAAAAACATCGTATATTAAGAGTCTTCGTAATTACTGAATAACTAATTTTTAATTTTGATTGACTCGGATGTAAAAAATATGTTTTCGTAATAAATAAATTTAATATAAGTTTCCAATTCATTTCTGAGTGAAG